ACAGGATCTGTGTTTAGAGACAGTGCATAAGCAAATCCTAGTTCCTGAGCTATGAATAAATCCAAGCATAAACAATATACAAGTAGGAATATCATACACACAGCATATGTGCTATGGGGCTAGAAAATGAGCAGGAAACTTGATAAATTTGCAACTGCAAATTATGCAAAACATTTTTGTGCATAATTCTTTACCAAGTCTGTAAGAAGGATCTCCCTATCTACACCAACTCATGAATTTACCACATCACTTCATTGCGAACCATCCTGGTGCAACCTATAGCTGTTCCAAATTGATACTTGCCCAGTTGTGACTGTATCCAAGTTTACTTGAATTGACTATGTTTAGAGCTGCAAGAACCAGTGAAGTCCATTCTCCTTGCTCTGGAGTACATGGATGGAGAGAGTTCTCCAGCACCAGCAGTGACAGAGCTGAGGATTGGAGCCATTCAGACAGCTCGGTTTGCGTTCAAGAAGGTGAAGAAAATTAAAAATTAATTAAAAGTGCTGTTTTATGTCAGGTGCTGTAAGGAGTACCAACAGAGTACAGATAGCTGTTGGTCCTTTCTGTCAAAATATCTGTAAATTAAAAAGTACAGCTTTCAGGGTTTCTGATAAACTGTACATTATAAAAGCATCAGTGTTTGAAAAGGAAAGATAATTTTTCAGGGGCTAGTATGAGGGATTAGCAGTGTCGTATTAAGTCAGCAACAAAATTTAGCAGTTTGCTCTCCTAATTCTGAATATATAAGTTTGAGCACAGAGGTGGATTACAGGTCCAACCGTGTGTTTTTAGTGTAGTATTTTGTGACAGCTTGAAATGTGAACAAGACAGGTACTTGGGGTTTCAAAGGTGGTAATAGTATGGCAAGCAGCAGCATCTGGGCAACGTTTTCTTTAATGAGCAGTCCTGGTGCCGGCTGCAATGGGTCCTGTGTGTGTCCTGTCTACCGCAGCACACAGAGTTCTCCTTCCATGACCTGCCGCTCCTCCAGCAGAAGGGATTCGCTGTTGAACCTACGCAAGGAACTGTCGAGTGGGGTCAAGTCAAACGCATCCGTGTTTCTTGGGTGCCACCTGCTGACTTCTGCGTAAGTTACACTTGGTGTGCGGCATGTGACGGCTGTTTTAACCGAGTTGTACGAGAAACACAAAAGGTGATCTTGAGGCCGTCAGAGGTACAGGCTGTTTTGACACATGTAGTTACCAAAGGGAGCATAGGCTGGTAGAAACACAGGAGAATAAAAGTGGGAGCAACATGTTTGATTTGGAGGTTTGAAACCTCCCCATTGCATTTGATGGTGTGGTGAAAAGATGAGCATTAGTCACTTGCACCTTACACAACTTAGTGACCTGTGTGAAGTTATTCTGCCTTATATAGTGCCAAAATGCTGATGATGATAACTCAGACACAGCTCTGATCACACTGACGTGATCTGTGCAAGAAAACCTGCTGACACAGAACTAAGCTTACATGGATCATTGTGCCACAATGTTCATGTTTCTTTGGCTGTGGGCTGCCTTTTGCTGGTTGTGTTCCTAGAAGTCAGTGGGGCTTTTTTATTTTCCACTTCATGAATTGCTTTATGAACTCCGTTTCTCTGGCTGCTTTTGCCCTTTTGTGCTGCAGAGTCTGGGTGTGAGACCCAAACGTCTTTGCGGGGCTGTGTTTGTTCCTCCTGATTCATCTGCTTGGGCATTCCTGGAGACTGAGAGAATTTACTTCCCTGGCTGTTGTTGTGAGCTGTGTGGGAGGGCTAAATGAGTAGCTTGTTCCAAAATTAAAAGATTGCTGCTATCATGTGCAGAAAGAGCGATGTAAAATTCCTGGCAGGATGTATGAGGTTGACATTGTGCCTCTTGGTAACCACTGGCTGTTACACAAGATTTAACACTAACTCAGGTTTAACAGGACCCATTTCTTTCCCAGCCCTCAGTGCAGCATACTCTGTTGCTGCTGTGCCCAGCTGCCATGGTTATAATGTGGTGGTGCTATCTGCAGCACTCTGGAGATGAAATGCTTGGTCATTGCCACTTTACTTGCTGCACTATGGGCATTATGTGGGGATATGAAAGAGCCAACAGGGTGGGATGAGGGGTAATATGTATCTGTAACTGTTGCACCTTACCACTGAGATGCAAAATACATGGTTTAGACTGTGATAACTAATCTGTCCTATAAAAAAAAAACAAAAAACAAAAAAAAAAGCCTTGGTTTTATGGATGGATTTTTTTTTTTTTTTTAGGATGATGACCCTCCACTTGTGACAGCCTTCCTGGCCTTAAAAGGTGACATTAAAGAATCTTACCAAATCCTCTTCATGACAAAAATTGTGTCTGCGTGTGCTCCCACCAAGTGAGGGAACCAAGCCAAGTGAAAAGGAAGACAGAGGCCTATATTACTGGGAAATCAGTGGATCTCAGTTGGTACATGGGAAGATTTTGAGACTGTTGCAAATGTAAGGGGAGCAGAGAGGTGGGAAGGAAGGTGACATTTCTTCTTAAACTTCTACTTAAACTCTGCTTCCACTAGTTTTGTTTTCAAGCTGACTCAGTGGCAATAATCTGGTTGTAGAAGAAAGAATTAATGAGGGCCCCAAGCAGAGGCTGCAGACAGGGTCTGCTGAAGGTGAGCATTTCCTCAGGAGCAATACCTCTTTTACATCTACATGCATGAGTTTCAAATGATGTATCTTTCCCCAATTTCAGATGCATTTTAATGGATTTGGAAAATCCTTGATTTTTCCTTTTTAAGACCAGAATAAAGCCTCACGTCTCCTCTGCATTGTTTAGCCAGTCATTTTTACAATACACTGGAAAATCTTCCTGATAACACATGGTCAGGAAGCAGTGACTGTGCTGTTTGCTGAATTGCTGGGCATAGTTAGATGCTAGGTCATGACTCTCCAGGAATTTCCTATTTCTACATTTGATTTCCTCTGAATTCTGACTAAGAGCGGATCTCTCTGCCTGTTAGTGGGGAAGCTGGACTGTCCTGCAGGTGTAGCTTCTGTCAGGAAGCAGCAGCCAGTTCAGAGAAGTGAAAACTAGAGGCACAGTCCTGTGGGGAATGAAGGGACCAGGACATCAGCAGACACCTAGAAACACAGATTATCTTTTAAACCTTATATCACTCTTTCTTGAATCACAGTAAGCCTGTGGCAAAATTCCCTCAATGCCACTCAAAGGCATATTGCTGCTTGGCCCTGGGTACCAGCCCCTTTAGGTATTGAAAGACAGTTACAAGCTCTCCCCTGAGCCTTTTTGGCTCCATTCTGATCTGTTCTCATTTAATAATGGATCAAGTGGCTGTGAGGTTATTTAACTCTTCAGTCTGAAGATCTGCAGATGCTGAAGCAGTGACCATCACCACAGGAGGCAGCAGGACTGGGAGTGGGTGGCAGTGCCAGCCAGGGACAGCACTGCCCTCACGAGCAGCAGAGGGTGTTCCTTCTGGCACAGTCGATCGGGCACATAATGAGGTTTATGTGCTGATTCTCTCAGAGTCCTTGCACCCTGGAAGGGAAATCAAATGCACACAACACAGAACTGTTCCAAATAGTGCTGCACAGCTGGCAGTTACAGAGCAGTAGGGAAGTTTTCAGAAAGCGAGGAAGGGCACTAACTTCATGTAGATTAACATAGTTACTTTTGCTACATTTTAAATTAGTGCTGAGCCTCTTTAGAATCTTCACAATGTGAACTTGCTCTGTCAGTCCACTGAGAATTCAGGAATTATTCTGAATATTATGATTTCACGCTGAACTTTGCAACTGTCTTCACTCTTGGGCCACTGGACAAAAATTCCTGCACTTTCAGCTTTGGATCTAAATGCCAGTATATACTACTTGGCTCTGATGCAGTTCTAGTGCAATAAGAAAACAAATTCACATCTGTGTATGGTCTTTATAATTCTTAAAATCCCTTAACTAGTTCATTTCTAAACCAAAGGAAGTGAGAGAATACATCCTAGTGTCATATACTTCTTATTAATGCATGTTCTGCTTATCCAGGGTCTTTAGAGATTGCTTCACACTTACGAATGCAGTTTTTCCTAAGTGACCAACTGTCCCATGACCCTGAGCAGTCTTCGAGGAACACACTGTAGTCACTGTGCCGCATGCCACCAACGAGCCCTGCCTGAAACACCGCTTTAGAGCCTTGCGGACAAGAATAGTGAACGTCTCCTGGGGAGCAGCCAGCTGCGGGGCTCAGACGGAAGAATCCGGGGGCTCTGTCCCGCCTCGCCTCCCTGCTCCCCGCCGCCCGCTGGGGCGGACGGGTCAGCGCCGGACCCTGGAAAGGGCCGGCCGCGCGCCGGTGCCGGGGAGGTCCTGCAGCCGCCCCAAGCCGAGGGCAGGGCCCAGGCAGCCCCTCCCGGCACTGGGTGAGGGTTATGGGGGGCTGTTTGTCCACCCGACCCCGGGGGCGGCCCCAGCCGCGGCTCCCCGGGACGCTCCGCTTGTCCCTGAGGAAGCTCCGCCTGCCGCGCGGCCCCGCTGAACCGGCTGCTGCGGAGTTCGCGACCCGTGAACGAGGTTCTTTTCGTCCGGCCGCCTGCTCCCCTGGTTGGGTTTTCCATTTGCCAGGCATTGCTCTGTCCTGAGAGTGGCTGCGACAGCTCTGGTCGGTGAGTAATGTTTTCTAATGTCTGTCACGTCACCAAACTGTCCCCTTCGCGTTGGAGTGCCAGATTAGAGCTGACTGACGGCTGTCCCTCACTGCCGCTTTTTCTCTAAGATTGTCAACAGTTTACAAATCTGGCTTGGCTGCCCTTGCTCTGTACCTAAGGTGAACGATCCTCTCTTTTAATATGACGTCGAGGTGTCATCTGCCGAAAATCAAATCTGCAGATCTTCTTGGGCAGATCCTCTTGTGCAGATCTCTTCTGTGCCAAGGGATTCAATTGCCTGAAACCTGTAGCATTCAATCCAGGAAGGCAGAGACCTGTGCTACTGTTGGGGCAGCCACACTTCTGAAATGGCATAGAAGCTGATCTCCTTTTCTTGTACCGTAAGTAGATCTGATCCCCACATTTCTGGCTGTATTTGAGCTATGAAAAAGTAATTTGAAAGTAACTGTGGGGAGCAGGCAGTTGTCTTAGGCTGGCATTTTCAGGCTGGCCTATGGCATTAGGTACATTGTCTCAGTGAACTTTAAATAACTTGAATTTGGTTTTGGAGACGCCAGCATTTGTAGTTCTCTCTCCTAAGCAACAGCAAAGTACCACTTTGTAAAAACATTTATCAACTCAGAAGCCAACCTTTACAATGGGATTATTTGCATGTCCTCAGCTGGAGTAGTTTTACAACTATGAAGAACAGTCCTCTGAGAGGAAATCTAAAAGGTTTTGTCCCATGCTCTTGCTGATTCCTTTCCTTTTTTTCACCTCAGAAATCATGTGAAATTTATTCCCTGTTATAAATTTGCTGTTTGTAGATATTTAAATCAGTGAATCATCTGTCTTCCTTCACAGATGCCCTCAGAACATGTCTAACTGGACCAGTCTGTGGTACATCTGGTAAGTTTACTGTTAGTCTTATGAACCCTGAATAATTTGAAAGTTCTGATGAAATGTAATTGCAGTAAGGCAATGGAAATGCTCTGCTCTTGGGCAGGAAGGAGGAAAGGGCTTCTCCTCAGTGTTGTGAAAGCTGCCAGTGGAGTGTATTGCAGATGAGCCCACAAGGGAGATAAGGTGTCAGGCAGGCGCGGCATTCATCCAAGGAGATGTCATCTGCCCTTTCTGGGTACTGCTTCACTGCCAGGCCTATTTGTCCTGTTGAACCAGAGAGCTCTGCAGAGCACTCAGCACTGTAGCCTCGTGCGCTTTCCATGGCTATCTCCCTCTCACGGGACAAGAGGTTGTTCACTGGTTGTGAACTCCAGCCCTTACAAACCTTTAAATGGGTAAACTTTTGGCACAAGTGATTCATCTCCTGCCTAAGACAGGCATTCTAGCTAGCAAAAAACTGTAACGTTGTTCTTATAGTTTGCATTCTGCCAGTGTGTTAACGTTTCTTACGTGTAAGTACTACCTTTGCTTTGGAAAAAAAGAACAGAATGCTACCAAGGCCATTTCTACACATATTTAGGGTGGAATATAACTCTTAACAAGGAATTCAGGAACATGGTGTCATGGTTTAAACTCAGACAGTAACTCACACTTAAGTTGAAAACACAGCACTGCGCCAACTACTAAGGAGAAAATAACTGTTACAGCTGAACCCAGGACACATGGTCTGCCACACAGTAATTCTTGTCAAGCCATTTCAACTTTGTCCTTGGGCTTGCTTCTTTACAGCACTGTGAACCAGTTCTTATTACCTCGCCTTCTCATGACACATCTCGCTGCTCACCTGGCTCATGAGAGAGTGGATTCATTTGAGAAATTGAGGAGTGGGAAGGTTGAGTTTCAATTGAGAACCTGAAACATCAGCACCTTGACCTGCGTGCATTACAAAGTGTTAAATTTTGTTAAACAATAGGTAGAGAGAAGATTGTGTTTTCAAGACATAATGCAAAATTTAATTTCTGTGCTCAATTATTAATACAGATCCTAGACTTGTAAAAGCTTGTACTGGCATTTCCCTCCAAGTACATACCATTCTTAGAGTTGAAAGCGGAGCCATTCTCACATACAAGTTGAAAATACAACCTAAGATAATTAACATTACTGCATCTGTGAGCCAGAAGGGATTGTACTGTTGGCCGCAGCAGTACTTCAACTTGTGATTAAGTGTTTCTGATCCAACTTCCCAATTCAGGATCCAGAACCCATTCAGAACTAAACCTAGGAGGTTTGGCCTTTTGTATTCAGTTCTGGAAGAAGTAAAATATAAGCAATGAAGTTTTGGTGTTCTCCCTCCTTCTCTAAGGTTAATCTTGCTGCCTCTGTTCCTGCTTCTGCTCTGTGGGATTACAGCGAGCTGCATCAAATTCTGCTGCCGAAAGAAGAGGCTTCCAGTGGAAACCTTCTCTAGGCACCCTTATGATTTAACAGTTATTGCTATTGACAGTGACAGCACTGCCCATAGCACAGTGACCTGTAAGTATGTACTGGAAGTATCTGCTGGGATTCAGCAGTGCTTTGCTATTGAACATATGCCTGGAATTCTGTGTCCAGTCCTTGGGATAAGGGGGACTTTCTGATGTACTTCCCAAACAACTTTCAGCCCCAAAGGGTGGGCAAGAGAGATAAAGGGGGGTCATGAGGGCACCACAGTAAGTGGGTGCAGACAAGCAGAATTTAACTTGTCTGTGTTGAGTTACCCACTTACTTCCTGTCTCCCACATCTGTTCTTATTGCCATTCCCTCATTTTTTTTAACTTTTCTGCCCCTCTCTGTTTCTAACTATTCCAGCCACAGTTATCTAATGTGAGTTGTTCACAGTTGTTCATGTATGAACCCTCTGTTACAACATACAATGTGAGTTGTTCACAGTTGTTCATGTATGAACCCTCTGTTACAACATACATGTACTGTATTGAGTATTTCACAGTCATTACTGGATGTTGATATGCAGGGATATTTTTAATTCTGACTGCTTTCTTTTGGAGAATGTACAAGTCCATCATAGGTAATTTTCTATACTGATAACTTGTAGTATATAGTGCATGACACCACAAAAATGAATCCATAATTTCTTGGAGAAAAGCAGGATTAGCCCTTTATATATCAGTGTTCCATGAAGGTGTTTAATGTTTGTTTTTTTTCATTCCCTTTTTCACAGCATACAGCTCATGGCAGTACCCTTTAAGTGCCCCTATTCCTTCGGTATTTGTGGATATGGATAAGAACACTGTGTCCCTTCCAGCTTACAGTCTCTATGCAATGGAGTTGCCACCTTCTTACGATGAAGCTGTCCTAATGGGTAAACAACGCATTGAAGTACCACAGATAAGCCAGAAATGCAATGACATCCCTGGACAGGTGACATCTGGTGAGATGAATCCCATCCAGTATTCACCTGATACAAGCAACAGATATCCAGCAACACAGGCAAATTCAGGAAATTCAGAAGATGCAACGCAAGAACAGCTGCAGCTCTGTGACTCGTTTCAGATGGGGAGTAAAGGAAGGAAAGGAGAGTAAAAGTTAAAGAAGACATGAAGAGTTTGTTTTTCCAAGTAGGTTATGATGGAAAGATGTTTCCTTTCATGCCCTTGTAATGATCTGTCAGATAGAAGAAATGTTTTCTGTGACTGCTTTTATCTCCTGGTAAAGCTTCTTCAAGGATATGAAATGAAGTAAAAGGGCAGCAGTTTAAAAATGCCTATAGAAGTGGGACAGAGTAAAAGGGCAGCAGTTTAAAAATGCCTGTAAAAGTGGGACATGAATTGCTTGTTCACATTCTGATAAAAATAATAAAAATATTCTTTGTGTCCAGCATATGGCAATAAAAAAAGGCAGGGGAATTTTGCCATCTCGGGAACACACACGAAGAGTCAGAACAGTACAAACAGCAAGTTGTTGTTCCAGAACAGAAGCTTCCCAGACTGGAGTGGAAAGGGGAACCCTAGCAAGTCACACTGAATAGCCTCTGTAGTTTCTCTTATTTTGAGAACATTAACTGCCCAGAAAATGACTGGAGTGCAAATTGCTGCATAATGGCCCATGCTCCTTAAACTGCCGGACAAACAAGGACAGGAAAGCCTGTGGAGGGAAATGTATTGTGCTATGTTTCACAGCTAGACACAAGGAATGAGGCAGATGAGAAAAGATACTTTCTTTGTCAGTCATGAAACCCAAAGGGATTGTTTTTGAGGTTTTTTTAAATCTTTAAACTTGCATTTTCAAGGCCAGCTGGCTTGTGGGCTGGACCCTTTTCCTACTTAGTTTTGCCAGTTAAAGTACAAATTAGTCTCAAAGAGACAATTTCACACGTGGTTAAGCATTACTAATGTGTTTCAAATATTTCAAAGATGACTTTATACCTTATTATCTTCTCAGGTGTCAGGGTCACAGTCAGTACAGAAAAGAAGAAATCAAAGATTCCTGACAGCTGTGCCCTCTAGTGTAAGTTATAACTACAAAATACCGTCATACAGTCTGGGCAATAGTCCAAAGAAATTACTCTTTAGAGATGATTCTTTGTGAAGTACTGCTAGCAAGGATAACTGCTATGCATCATGTTAAAACTGGGAACTTAGAGTTGATTACAGTGATCTCAGCCCAAGCAAAAATATGGGCTATGAGAGGCCTTATTTTTTTTTTCAAAATGACAGCTCTTTTCCTTTTATTGCCCCTCCAGTATTCCAAACAGTATGAAATTTGCCCACTCACTCCTGAGTAGAGATTTTCTTTGAATCTACTTTAGCAAGGTGCTAATTTGTCTACCTTTAAAAACATGTGCAATCTGAAGACAACAATGGTTCATTGCTGTGGGATTATCTATGGGATACGAGCAGGAAAGAAAGTGTTAGGTCAGAGTTAATATTGACTGACCTTCTACTAACAAGAATATGACTGATAGTCTTAATTTTTGCTGAAGTTGCTTTGGTAGCTATGAAAAGGATATCTGCCTCCTGCAAATAATAAGAAGTAGAAGTGGTGGGTACAAAGTCTTGCACAGCTTTTAGAAGACTATTCTGTGGCAAGCATTACTGCAAGAACTACCCTGGAAATGAGCACTAATGATTTAAAAATTAAGATCTCTGCCAGCCAACAGGACTGAGACTAGAATCTCTGCTACACATTCATGGTGTGTGAGCTGCTCATGAGTCCATCTCTCAACACAGAGAAGTGTTGGTTCTATGTTTAACTTGCATATAGCTTACTGTGAGGGTTGCAGGGAGAGACTGGTTTAACAAATCTGCTTCTCTTCTGTCTTGTCTGTCTTTCGTAATTGTACTTCTCCTGTTCTGTCCTTTGCCTTCCTTTTCTGTGTTAAGATGGAGACTAGGCATAACCCAGTGTAACTACTTGGATGTCTCCGACTGGAAAAGCAATATATGCCCAGTCCTGGGTGTCTCTGAGTCACAAATATAGCAGATGTATTTTTATTTATAGAACTTTTCCATCAGGGCAGCACTCAGAAACAAATCCTATGCCTTTTGAAGAAGAAATATCTGTTGGAGGGGAATGGCCGAGTGCTCACTCACTAATAGAAACAGGAATATAAAACTGGGCAAATGAAAAAACAGTGACAGTCGCAGGAGGGCAGGCCTTCACTTTCCTGTATATTATGCTTATATCACTACTGGGAACAGCTTTGTAACCAACTAGCTATCAGTGCTGCAAAGAGGTGAAGGTGCTTCTAAGGCTCGGGTTTGCTCGGTTCTCCAGAGATCACTCAAGGACTGAGCTTGCTTGAGGAGGATGGGAGAATAATCACAACAGTTTGACTTCTCTTTCCTTCATGCTTTTGCTTACACAGTAACACTGAAGGAAGTGAGTTTGTGTGTGTGTATGTAAGAAGCAAGTGTCATTTGACACAGCACAGTGAATGAACCATTTAGTTTTTTCCCTGTCTTCCTAGGAAGAAGGGCTTAATCTCGGTGGGTTTTTTCTAACACCTAAGTGTTAGAAAAAACCTTTTGTCTTGCCCAGGCTCTTGCCTTGTAACATGGTTCATTAATTTAAACACAAACTACTTGTTAACATAAACTCCTGACCTAATCAGCCTGCAGGAACACAGAATTTTCTTTGCATGTCAAAAGCAGTTCAGTTGGCTCCTCAATAGTGATGTCTCAGCCCTTTATCACAATCGACTGGCTCCTCACAGACAGCTGGTAAGCAAAGCTATCCCCGGGCCTTTGTCTTTGAGGAAGCAGATTCCACCCACAACTGTTCATTATTTACATCTCCACTTAACAGGTTTCTTCAGCTCAACAGCATTGCAGAAGTTATCATGACTAGGGGATTTACAGATTCCATTTAAACTCCTGCACAAAGAGCGAGCTCTCTTCCCATCTTGAGAACAGTTTCTATTTGTGTAGTAAATCCAGTTCATCAATTAGAATCATTAGTTGCATGTGGGAACACAGTGAGAGAAAATGACCCTTTAATGAACTAATGTCAGATAAAAGAATTAAAAGGGCTATCCCGAGTGCTGGTCTAGACAAGCAACACCTTGAAAGTGTTGCTCTCACATGCCTTACATAGCACTAAATAGGAGGCAGTAGAATGTAAAAGAGTGTCTGTTGATCACCTGGGTCATTTCTGTTTGATTGGGTAAGTTGGAGAAAGACAGACTTTCTTGTTATTATCTATAAAAATAAGCTTAGTAGCCAGCTTTCACTCAATATGTATTTTTGCAGTACGATGGAAAGGGACACTGTGAGCTCCTAACCCTGCTGTATGGTTAGAATAAACTTGTTTGCTTTCACTGATGTTTTAAAGGTCAGTAAGCAAATCCAAAAATGTGGCATGGAGATTGATGCTCTGTCTTCATTGCTCTGTCTTCATTCTCACTGCTGTTTTGCATTAAAGTTTCTCTCTTGACTTTTGCTTTGTGTTCTGCAAAGCTTTGTTTACTTTCGGTGTGGGATCTGGCTTTGTAGTCCTAGAAAACTTGCTTTGTTGTTGATGCTCTTACTGAGGCTCAAAGAGTAAGTGGGATACTTTCAAAACCTAGACATTGTGTTCCTTTGTATTTATTCTACTGAGCATGTACAAGGGGAAGGACTACTCTTAAAATTTATTTGTTCTTACTGGGTATTGTGATTTGAATTTGCTCATTTGGTACTGCTCAGCATGCAATTTTTCTTATTTATCCAAAATGATAATTTTGCAAATTATTTTCTGTTGTTATCCTCTGGCTGTGTGAAAGAGCTTATGATGGGGAGATGTACTGCTGGAAAAGTTGGTGCTTACCTCACTGGTGGCAGCTTGCAGTCTTGCCTCTCCTCTCACACGCACATGCACTCATCATGAGCACTTGCGCTCAAAAGGCAAATGAAGACTTGGAAGTAAATTGCCTCAATAATTCAAAGGCTTTATAGCCCAGAGCAAATTATGCCTTGGCTCTGTCATGAAATTCAGGTTGCAAATCCCTTTATAGCCAAGCTCATTAACAATCTAAGTAAAGTGGTACATCTATAATGGCTTTTATAATCGATGCATTATAATTTTTGGAGAGTATTAAGTGGTAGACCTGAAGCATCCAGACTGGAGCATCAATAAGAGTCTGGACACAGCAAGAGAAAAAAAAAACAACATTTTTTTTTTTTTCTGCCTTGTGGCTGCCTTTGTCTGCGTTGCTGCCCCCAAATAGCTTAAAAGGAGGTTTGGGTTTTCTGTTTGCTGACTGCCATTCAACTTTACCAGATGCAGTTTTTGAGGGAAAAGAACCTCTGTCATTGCCAGTCTGGTGCATGGGGCACTCAGACATGTGTCAAAAAAAAAAAAAAATTAAAAAAAAAAGATAATTTTATTTCCCTGTTTACTTGGAGAATAAAATAGCTCTCAGGGAATCACTTTCCAAATCCTTGCTCTCAGCTGTCTCCTGGCTCTGATTCTAATTATCTTTACCTGTCAGAACTATTTTTACTCAAGAGCCATTTACTGATTTTGCTGCAATGAGAAGAGGTTCTTTCCTTTACCCACAGCTAAAATTCAAACTCTGAGAGAAGTCTTTGAATTCTGTTCAGGGCAGACTATGAAACCAAAGTATCACAGAGGAATTGGGCTCAATAAAAATAAAGATAACAAATGTTTTATGAAATATTATATCCTAAGGTTAAATTCAATGTACACACACACACACACAAGCTTAGGTGCAAACCCACATCACTGGGAAAGCATTTTGTTCTGGTCAGTCAAAATTTAGAATATAAAATGCCAGAGCTCTTTTAATCTTACTTGGGGGCAGGGGGAAAGGAGGCTGTAGAAAAGAATGAACCACTTGCAAACATTTCACGTCATTTTGGAATTACAAAGCTCACCTTGGGCCCTTGGAGAAAGGATAAAATAATTTTCTATTTCTAATCTATAAATGTTTTAATTTGAATTAAAGTGTTTAATTTTTACTCCTTTATTTTTTTTTCCCCTGCGTTTCCAAGTAGCTCGAAAGGGAAACAAAAAAGTAAGAGCCTGATGTTTTACATTGTTTCTTTTCTTTCCATGCTAACAGTTTATGACACAAGCTACTTCATTCCCACATGTAAGGAAGTATAGTCCTGAAGTATTGCCCTGGGAAACACAGCTCAGCTGCCTGCTCTGCCACAGACTTCCCAAATGACATTGGTCTGTAAAACAGGGATTGTCTTGTCTTACAAAGACTTTTGAGGATGAATACACTGAGCGTGGGCTGCATTGTCACAATGAAACACAGGTACAGTCAGAGCATGATGAACTTTGTGTGGGACATGAAGCTCAGAAAAAAACTTCCCTGCTCCCTCCCCCTCTTAAGGAGGGAATCTGGAGAAGAAGCTTGGGCAAAAGTGTGA